ATATTAAGGAACATTAAGGAACATTACGGAATATTACGGAATATTACGGAATATTCAGGAATATTCAGGAATATTAAGGAACATTACGGAACATTAAGGAATATTACGGAACATTAAGGAATATTAAGGAACATTACGGAACATTACGGAATATTACGGAATATTAAGGAATATTACGGAATATTACGGAATATTCAGGAATATTCAGGAATATTAAGGAACATTACGGAACATTACGGAACATTACGGAACATTACGGAATATTATGGAACATTAAGGAATATTACGGAACATTACGGAACATTACGGAATATTACGGAACATTAAGGAATATTACGGAATATTAAGGAATATTAAGGAACATTACGGAATATTACGGAATATTACGGAACATTAAGGAATATTAAGGAATATTAAGAATTATTACGATATCAAACACACCCTCCGTTGTGACAGACTCTTTAAAAGTATACCGAGATTATATTAGTACTGCTATTAAGCTTCTTGTGGGTTGGGAGCGTGTACCAGCAGCTACTAATAGTAATATCACCTGATGCCCATATAAGGGCATACTATTACACGCTAATTCTGGGATTCTGCTATATTTTTGAAGTTTCCGACCAGACTTCAAACGTGACTTCTATTTTACCACGAGGGATTGTCCTGGCTGAAGTCCTGGTACCAGTATAGTGATTTTGATTTACTACTTTTCTAAACAATAAACAAAACTATGTGATATTGATAAGACCTTCCTAATTCGGATCTAATCTAATCGAAAGCGATCGAATCTGACAAAGTTACTGCTGGAAAACTTCAAAAGTTTCAACTCAAGAAGTGTGGCTTCCTTGTGAGTCTTCACTCGTCATCTATACCATGATCGAGAAGAGAGAAGTTCACACCATACCCTTACCGCAGAATAACACTTTACATATTTTAGCAGATGATTTGACCAGAGTTGTGGCCATGCTTGGATAGTACTATTATTGGATCATAAACCCAATGAAGTTATGTTTTTGGTTTGAGTTTTATGGGACCGAATGACAGTGATCACGGCTGCACAAAATGTCTCTGCCAAAACAAAATGAAACAACTGAAAAACCGACGATGAAAAATCTTTAAAACACCAAAAGAAATCAGCCCTCATAACTTTATAAACCCTCTACACTGCAGACCAACGGTCAGCAGATGATTTCATCACAAATCACGTGATGCCCATATAAGGTAATAACAAACCCAATAAAGTTAAGTTTGTGGTTTAAGTTTGATTTCTCTGCGAAGACAAAATCAAACGAGTGCCGTTACGAGTACCGTTACAGTTACTAAACATCTGTAAAGAGAAATCAGTCGTAACAAATAACGGAGATTAATTCATAACGTCCCGTAGTCATTAATTCCGTCCCGTAGTCAGCTTCTACAACACCCCCCTCCAAGCCCTCCACAAAGTCCTCGCATCTTTCCTCAAACCCCTAGCCCAGAACCCCTTACGCCTCAAAGACTCTTCCGACTTCAAACATCGCTTCGACTCCTCTCTCAATCCCTCCTTCCACTACCACGCCTCCTTAGACGTCCAATCCTTGTACACCTCCTGTGACATGCGCCTAGCTCTCAAAACTGTCATCTCCTCCTTTGAACAGAACCCCTCTCGTCTTCCCTCCAATGTCACCACCACCACCATAGGCTCCCTTATCAACTTTTGCCTTGACAACTCATACCTTGAATTCAACGGCTCCTTCTACTCCCAAGACGAAGGTGGTACAATGGGATCCCCCCTCATTGTTGAACTAGCTGAAATCCGCCTTGCTGAAATCGAGACCTTAGCTTTATCCTCATGTCCTGACCCTCCGAACACTTACTCCCATTTCGTTGACGACGGCCTTGGATCTTTCAGAGACAGAAACCACGCAGAATCCTTCCTTACATTCCTTAACTCCCTTACTGAAGACCTCAACTTTACCCAAGAACATCCCTCTACAGACGGAACTATACCCTTCCTTGACGTTCTCATCCACCCTGACAAATCCACATCAGTCTACAGAAAACCCACCCACACCAACCTCTACACCAAGTACTCTTCCTGCACCACCAACTCATCTAAGAACGCAGTCATCCGATCACTGACCAGAAGAGCCCACAACATCTGCTCACCCCAACACCTTGACGACGAACTCCAGACAGTACGACACGTTTGCCTCCAGAACGGCTTCCCTCCTCACCGCATCACCACCATCATGGACGAAGTACAACGGAAATTCACCAACCCCTCTCGCCACCAATCCCTAGCCTCATTCAACCGACAGACCCGTGAACATGCCCTTAGTGTTTCTCTTCCTTTCCATCCCTCCCTATCCAAACCCATCTCCAAGATACTCGGACAACACGACATCAAAGTCACCCACTCCTCTGCTACCTCCCTCTGCAACCTCCTCACCAAAACGAAGACCACACCCCCTACTCACCTCACTCCCAACACCATCTACGAAATTTCCTGCTCACAGTGCCCCTCCAAATACGCCGGACAGACCTACAGACCCTTGGTCCACCGCATGAAAGAACACGAACGATGTTACAGACTCAACAACGCCATCGACGAATCCACAGACAGAATCAAATCAGCCCCTGCACATCATGCCCTGACCACCGGCCACACCATCTCCTGGAACAACATCGAAGTCCTCAAATCCCTCACCTCACGCTCCCAACTTGACCTCACAGAACACGCAGCTATACAAATACGACAACCCGCTATGAACAGAACAGACCGCGCACCCAAATGTAGTTCCCTCTGGGACCCCATTCTTCCTAAAATTGCCAAATCCTTAAAGTCAAGACCATCTGGCATTTCCTTCTCAACCTCAACAGAAGACTAAATTTTTATTGACATTGTACTGTAATTTTCACTTTCCCACCCACACCTCCCCCACCCTCCATCCCTGACACCACTCAATCACATATAAGCATTGTCCACCACATCACATTCAGCTGACGACGATTAACACATGTTTATTGAAAGCTTCTACAAGTTAAATCATCGTATCTCTTATATGTTTTTAACCCAACTCCACTCAGATTAATTCATAACAATATTAGGCGCCCTTAACAAAAGAACAAAGATGACACTATTAAAAACGCTATTCTGTCCAGATCTAACATATTTACTAAATCACGTGACCAGTTTGAACTAAGTCATGTGACTATTCTCGTTGATCTGTAGACCGTGTGGTACAGGGTACTGGGTGGAGCTACTATCAGGCTGTAAACACCAAACTGTAAACAATTGAACCTTGACTACTATTCTAGACTGGCAGTTTCAAAATATCGGACAGTTTTACGACACCAGAAAATACCGACAGTTTTACGGCACCAGAAAATACCGACAGTTTTACGGTACCGGAAAGTTTAAAAAGCACCAGACAGTTAGACTGACGAGGACGGCTGACCGCAACAACAAAGCGCCGTATTTAAACACAGCGCGTCAGTCAGCAGTAGGGAGGTTGGGAGGAGCTCGCACTGAGGAATAGTGCGAGGTTTGGAGGTGCTCTCTCTCTCTCTCTCTCTCTCTCTCTAGGAGGTGCTAGGACAACGACACACGAGGTACTGTAACATAAATAAATTACTGAAGAATAGTGCGACCTGATAAACCTATCCGGTATATACATGTAGCCCGGAATAGTGCGACCTAATAAAGGGTTGCCAGGGTTACCAGGCCGGCCTGGTGACAGCGCTGCGCTCCTACAAGTTGTGAACAGCTCTGAAACCCAGCCAATAAGGTAGTTGTAATTTGAAGCTGTAATTTGTTGTAATTGTAATTTGAAGGGATATTCCTGGCTCCGGTCCAGTTGAAGGAGAATTCTAATCAGATTTTAACTCTTAAGGTATCTTGATTTAACGAATCGGCTGGAATTTGGTGATTAAAGTACTTGAGGGGGTTTCCCGTAAAAGTCACGCGGAAATAATTCAATAGCGAACAGCTACATAGCAGGGGCGCGACTCTCATAACGCATTGTATTACCAGGCGACCAATTCTAAACATGCCCATGTATGGTAGTGGGTAGTGGCGATTATTTCGCGAGATGCAAACCACAGCTAAAACAAACCCATATTAGGAATCAAACTGTTAGCTCTCTGAATTGAAGCTAATACAGGGCGAATTGTAACGATTATTTCTCGTGACGGTATCCCGGTATCCGCTGTTAGACCAGTTGGAGCGTAATAGATCAATAACAAGTCATAATTAAATGCTAATATCACCATGGATACGTGACACGTTTAACACGTGGCAGGTTTAGCACGTGACAGGTTTAACACGTGGCAGGTTTAACACGTGGCAGGTTTAACACGTGGCAGGTTTAACACGTGACAGGTTTAACACGTGGTGTTACAGTGGACATGGTATTGGGGTCTGTAGATCTACAGTTTTAAAGTTAGGTATGTTTTAAAGACCAAGGTGCTGATGTTAATATTTTATGTTCGGGCTTAGTTCATTTTTACAAGTAGGTTATTTTTATACCCTGGTATTTGTAACTGCTTTCGGAGGGGTCTAAGATAACGGCCGACTACAGTCTGGTCAATTGTATGGCTTCTTGAAGCGGTTCTGCTTCTCTTTCCTCGTTATACTTATAGTTTCATCTCACAAAGTTCGTCACCCCGAATTTAAACCTTCGCTCAAACCCTTATCCTATAAGTTACTATAGTTACCCTAGTAACTATGGTAACACTAGTCCCCTCCTTGCCCGGACGATGTACTAGTACTTTGACCCAGCCCGAGACCATAAAACATCAAATATTTAAGTCAAACGGAAATAAATACCATTTTCAGCGATTCCGTTCCCCCGCAACTTTTAAACTATGTGTGATCGGGAAAATGAAGAGGAAGATGAAACAGGAGTGAAACTACAAGTAGAGTGACAACAAAATGAAAATGGGAGAGAAGTGAGAGTGAAAGTGAAAGACTCAAAGTGAAAGTGAAAGTGAAAGTGAAAGTGTATATAATAACCATTTACCTCGGATATGTTTCTAGCACCTTTGACTCCTGCGGCTAAACTGTATCCACCAGGTTTAAATCCGATCTTTTTCTTACTGGCTTGAGGGCTGAAAATAAAACGCTTAAGTAAGCCTTAGTCACATGTAACATCTCAAGTGGTGGTCATAAGTTACTATAGTTACCATAGTAACCATAGTAAACATAGTAACCATAGTTACCATAGTAACCATAGTTACTATATAAGTATATAAGTTGCTGTCATAAGTCATGATTACCTTCCTTGTCACAAATCGTGGTCACAAGATGTAATGACACGGAGGTTTGGCAACGAATTATTTAATCGTTTGTGATTAACGGCTGGTCCGAGTCCCAATTTGAGTCAGTTAAAAGTTGTCATCGTTAAAAGTTGTCATCACTTGTAATCAAGGCGGCGTATTATCAGGAATATTAAATCATCTAATCGTGTGATAAAGCACACGAGGAATTTACACCATTTAAAAGTACATATTTCCCAAAAAACTCTTATTGCTTGATATCGTCCATTGATTTAAAGTGTCAACAGTAATTAACACTATTATAATCGTGAGAATGCTTTGCCCAATGCTGTTTAACCAAGCTTACATGCAGTATATAATAAGAGGGATACAGACTGGTAACCCTGGCAACCCTGGTAACCCTGGTAACCCTGGCAGTGTTATAACAGGTGTTTGCTGACTAAAGTCTCAGACGAGATCAAACATGCGGGAGTAGCAGCAAATATAATCTGCCCGACTACTCTTCGTAGTATAACCGGGTATAATTGTTAATGTTAACTAGTCTCGCTCGTTAGTCGTGACGTCATAAGGCGTGACGTCACAGAAGGGGGAGGCTGGGATTGCCGCCGTTTTCACTGTAGACTTTTTAGTGGATATCTAGCGAGATGGAACATGAAACCAGCCAAGATTGTCCGCTATTTTTTATGTTTGTTTCCTGATGAAACTAATGAACAACCCTTCCGTTAGCAACCATATCTCCGTTAGCAACCATATCTCCGTTAGCAACCATATCTCGCAACCGAATAACGCACACTACTTTAATATTTAAATGATGCCAGCCGCTGTAAAACCAGATCATTCGGATCATACTTTAAAGTAACATTATTTAGATGTAATTAACTCATTACAATTATGTAATTATTAAACTGAGCTAAATACAAGCAATCACCAACTCAAGTTTATACCAATTATCTCAATCTGTATTCTGTACCTACATTAACTATAGTAACTATAGTAACTATAGTAACTATAGTAACTATAGTAACTATAGTAGCTATAGTAACTATAGCAACCTTGCGGTTTTGTAATTGTAACCCCGAATCTCACCTGTTTTTAGCGACAATCTTCCTATAACTCATAATCAGTACAACCCTACTGAAACTCTATGATAATATTTAAGATAAGAGATAAGAGAGTGAGATTATACACGTATAACTCCTTATTTGGGCATCACGTGAATTATACACGACAAAATGAAAATACTAAACGTCTAAACAAGAGCAACTCGGACAGTCATCCGAACTGAATACCGGATATCACTGCAAAACTGATTACACGTATTCTCCAACTAGATGAGCTCAACAATTATACAGATCGGTAGGTCCGGTCATAAAGGCTTCAAAGATCAAACAATAGACCCTGGAGTCTGTACATGTATACGGGACTGTCCTGTACGTGAGTACGGGTCCCGTGTACGCTAGAAAAGGGGAACTACCAAGGGGAACTACCATGTGATATGACGGAGTGAAGCAGCAAGGATACACCCTGACCTAGCTATGAGAAAAGGGAACTAACTGTGAGCTTATATAACCAGGTTATGAACTTTTCAGCATTACGGAAACCTAGGTATTTTTTGAAAGGTATAAGCTTCAATTGTACCAATATCACGAAAACAGATACTGACTACTAATACATACTAATATGTACTATACTGTAAAAGGTCTTAAATGCAGTTAACAAATGTTCTCAAGATAATTAATTCTAAAATCTGCCGCTCGATTTAAATTTCAAACCACAGCGTATCAGATTAACAACATAAACTAAGAACAACGCAACAAAACTCAACATTTCAACTTCGCGAAAGCCCCCTGTGTAACAATGAGTTAAATTACAGCAGATAATGAAGAGTGGAGAGCTGAGTGGAGAGCTCTGCCCACACTACGCGCCTCGTTGTGTGAATCCAGTTTTTTTGACCCACGCCATGTGGCCCGTCAAAACATGGCGTAGTGTGGGCAGACATTCGGGGAATAGAGGCGTAGTGTGGGCAGGCCCTAATGAAGAGTGGAGAGATGAGTGGAGAGCTGAGTGTCAAGTTTACAGCGGATACAAAAGTGAAGCACACTCCACTAGTCCACTGATACACGGAGTACAGGGATCAGTACAGTAACCTGATACACAAGGTACCGGGTAATGTTGTTATAGGGCCAGGATCTGGCGGGGTGGGGTCACGTGGGGTCATTACCATATATGGTAATGACCCCACGTGATCAGAGTTGATGACGGGAAGCAAGTCGAGATGAGCTAGTTGAGAGTTTCCCGTGTGTAGAGTGGATTATGTCTGATGTGGCTATAACGATGTAACATGAGATACTCTCTCTCTCTCTCTCTCTCTCAGGTTAAAGACCCCCCCCCCTCCTCTCTCAGGTTAACCCCCTCTCTTTCTCAGGTTAATGACCCCCCCCCCCCACTCTCTCTCTCTCCCTATTTATACCACCTGGAGTAACATCTTACAGATCTCTCCCTCAGGAGGCTAATGTAATCTTACTGCTAATGTAGATCTGTAATGTAGATCTCTCTGACTAGCTACAGTGTACACATTTTAGCAGGTGGTCAGGGGCTAGAGACTAGAGTGATGATTATTTGGATGGTTCATGGAAGTAGTCTCAATTGGTATTGCAGCTCGAGTAACTTTAGTTACTACCTGGTACTATAGTAACTATAGTAACTTAGTAACTATAGGTTAACTATACAACCCTACGAAATAAGTGTTACAAGGGTGCTCTGATTGTTTAGATATTCCACTGATTGGTGAAACATTATACTATGTATATACATGTGAACTGTGAACTGTGTGATATGTAACACAACAGTAATCTATCTGGTTTAATATTCCGTATGTTAAACTCATATAGTACACTATTATATCTGAGAGCTATAGTGCCATGCTTTGTACACAATCTCATCGGTATATTATAGGGATAACGATTGGTAACCTCACTGGTTACTACCTAGGTAACTGCATAGTTAATACATGGTTGTACTAAGTCCAGACGATAGATAACTATGCTGGTAGTATAGAGAAATAATTAATCTGCGACTATCTTCGTATAGTACTATAGTAACTATAATGTTAACTGTATACTAGATCATCGCCGTAGTCTGGTTAAGCTAGGGTAGTCAACAAAGTAGCTGTTGCGCTATTTCACTTAACTTTTAGTATATTAGCAGTATACCATGACCTTACAATATTGTCGATCTATTTTTTATGTCTTGTTTTGTGAACTGATGTAATTTCGTTAGCAACCATACTGTTAGAGAATATCCGTTAGGCCCATATCTCGCATCCGAATAACGCACACTACTTTAATATTTAAATGATGCCAGCCGCTGTAAAACCAGATCATTCGGATCATACTTTAAAGTAACATTATTTAGATGTAATTAACTCATTACAATTATGTAATTATTAAACTGAGCTACATGCAGGCAATCACCAACTCAAGTTTATACCAATTATCTGTATTCTGTACCTACAGTAACTATAGTAACTATAGTAACTATAGTAACTATAGTAACTATAGTAACTATAGTAACTATAGTAACTATAGTAACTATAGTAACTATAGTAACTATAGTAACTATAGTAACTATGGTAACTATAGCAACCCTTGCGGTTTTGTAATTGTAACCCCGAATCTCACCTGTTTTTAGCGACAATCTTCCTATAACTCATAACCAGTACCCGACTTATACAACCCTACTGAAACTCTATGATAATAAGTTAGATAAGAGATAAGAGTGTGAACTGTGAGATTATACAATCCTTATTTGGGCATCACGTGAATTATACACGACGAAATGAAAACAATAAACGTCTAAACAAGAGCAACTCGGAGAGTCATCCGAACTGAATACCGGATATCACTGCAAAACTGATTACACGTATTCTCCAACTAGATGAGCTCAACAATTATACAGATCGGTAGGTCCGGTCATAAAGGCTTCAAAGATCAAACAATAGACCCTGGAGTCTGTACGTGTATACGGGACTGTCCTGTACGTGAGTACGGGTCCCGTGTACGCTAGAAAAGGGAACTACCAAGGGGAACTACCATGTGATATGACGGAGTGAAGATTGAAGCAGCAAGGATACCAATATCACGAAAACAGATACTGACTACTAATACATACTAATATGTACTATACTGTAAAAGGTCTTAAATGCAGTTAACAAATGTTCTACCTAGCTATGAGAAAAGGGGAACTAACTGTGAGCTTATATAACCAGGTTATGAACTTTTCAGCATTACGGAAACCTAGTTATTTTTTGAAAGGTATAAGCTTCAATTGTACCAATATTAAGAAAACAAATACTGATAGGTCTTAAATGTAGCTAACAAATGTTCTCAAGATAATTAATTCTAAAATCTGCCGCTCGATTTAAATTTCCAAACTGCACAGCGTATCAGATTAACAACATAAACTAAGAACAACGCAACAAAATATTTCAACTTCGCGAAAGCCCCCTGTGTAACAATGAGTTAAATTACAGTAGATAATGAAGAGTGGAGAGCTGAGTGGAGAGCTGAGTGTCAAGTTTACAGCGGATACAAAAGTGAAGCACACTCCACTAGTCCCCTAATACACGGACTACAGGGACTAGAGTGGAGAGCTGAGTGTCAAGTGTATCAGGGACCAGTAGAGTAACCTGATACACAAGGTACCGAGTAATGTTGTTATAGGGGCCAGGATCTGGCGGGGTGGAGTCACGTGGGGTCATTACCATATATGGTAATGTTCCCACGTGATCAGAGTTGATGGCGGGAAGCAAGTCGAGACTCGAGATGAGCTAGTTGAGAGTTTCCCGGAAAGTGTAGAGTGGAGTATGTCTGATGTGGCTATAACGATGTAATATGAGATACTCTCTCTCTCCCTCTCTCCCCCTCTCTCCCCCCTCTCTCTCTCTCTCAGGTTAATGACCCCCCTCTCTCTCTCAGGTTAATGACCCCCCTCTCTCTCTCAGGTTAATGAACCCCCCCCCCCCACTCTCTCTCTCTCCCTATTTATACCACCTGGAGTAACATCTTACAGATCTCTCCCTCAGGAGGCTAATGTAATCTTACTGCTAATGTAGATCTGTAATGTAGATCTCTCTGACTAGCTACAGTGTACACATTTTAGCAGGTGGTCAGGGGCTAGAGACTAGAGTGATGAGTTATTTGAGATGGAAGTAGTCTCAATTGGTATTGCAGCTCGAGTAACTTTAGTTACTACCTGGTTACTATAGTAACTATAGTAACTATAGTAACTATAGTAACTTTTACAACCCTACTGAAACTAAGTGTTATCAATGAGGAGTGCTCTGATTGTTTAGATAATTCCACTGATTGGTTGAAACATTATACTATGTATTATACATGTGAACTGTGAACTGTGTGGTGACTATGTACCAGCAACAGGTAATCAGATCGTGGGTTTAATCAGATCTCCCGCGTCACTGGCTTCAAACAGTTATCTCCACTAATGTAGTTACCAGTGCTATTATACTCTATAGAGCTATAGGTTACCAGTGCTACTATGCGTACAGCGAATTCTCCAATCCGGACCATAAGTTTAGTCCGTTATAATCGCATTTGGTTCGATCATTGTTTGTAAAATAGGGCTACATACCGGAATTATCAGGCCAGGTAATATTCTGGTCCGGTTTAAGTGCGGGGACTATATCAGGATATTTATTGCTCTCATAGAGTCTTATAGAGAAGAATAATGCTGGAATTTAAGTCGAGACTATTTCGTTAATATAGTAACTATAGTAACTATATAGTAACGAATGTGTCGCATCTGTCCATGAACTATGATCAAGTAGCCAAGTAGTTGGCTGGTAGAGTCAAGTTATGTCAAACTAAATAAATAGTGCGATCTTCAAAACATTACCATATTAAGTCAAATAAGAGTTTCTCAAACAACAGTTCAGCAAGTTATAGTTTACCATCTGTACTTGAGTAACAAATTAATTAGTAAGCAGATCTGAGTGATTAGTTGCTTATTAGTTCTTTAGTTGGTAATTGGTTGGTAATTGGATGGTAATTTGTTAGTAATTAGTAGGTAATTGGTTAGTAATTAGATGCTAGAGCCATGCATTTCAATGAAACTGCTCTCAAAGCCATGCAGATTAGTTGGTAATAGTAGCACACATGATGCAGACCAATCAAATGCTTGCCATGATCTAGAAAATATACACATTGTCTGCAAACTGTCTGATTATACTGGAGACTGTTAGAACTTCAGAACAAGATAAGAGAAAATAAGAAAGAAAGATTGAGATTGTCTAGATTGAGTAACTCAGTAATCATGTCAATTCGCTGATTCTACCGGTCTGACCAAACATATCTGTGGATTAGCCAAAAACTTTTGAAATAGAATGTGAAATCACTGTTAAAATCCTTAGAAAGAGCAGGCATCTTGAAATATTATATCTTTCTATAGTAACTATAGTAACTATAGTTACTATAGTTACTATAGTTACTATAGTTACTATAGTTACTATAGTTACCATAGTTACTATATCTTTCTATGAACAAGACAAAATTATCATCATCATCAGAGAGACACTTCAGCGCGACATTCCAAGACATCTTCAGCAGAATACATCCATCAGCAAGACACCAGATATGCGCGCCGCCAGTCCCGTGGTCACACTACCATATAAGGTAATAATACCACATAACGTGGTCACACTACCATATAAGGTAATAATACCACATCACGTGGTCACACTACCATATAAGGTAATAATACCACATCACGTGGTCACACTACCATATAAGGTAATAATACCACGTGCTTTTACCTGAACACTCTGGTCGGGGGAGGAGGACGCCGTATCGGGTCCGGACTAGGACTAGAGTGACGAGTTAACACGATACTGGAGAGGTGCTAATTAATCAATTAATTAGCTAACTAATTAACTAATTTAGTTAACTAATTTAGTTAACATGATATGATAGAGGTGCCAGGCTTAATTAGCCAGTTAATTAATTAGTTAAGTATCTAATTAATTAATAAATCTGACTGTCGGCCTTCCAGGATGGAGAGACATATTCAGTCAATGTTGATTTGAGAGTACATTTTGATTTGAGAGTCAATGTTGATTTGAGAGTCAATGTTGATTTGAGAGTCAATATTGATTGAGTCAATGTTGACTGATACGGTGCTAGATTGTAAAGACAGCTATCAGAATCTGACGATGTTAACTGGTGTCCAGTTTATCATAATACCTTTTATATCTACTTTATATAAGTAGGGCTTTCTCATGCTATAACACTCTTAGGCGACACCATCTTAAAAGTGCTAAAATCAACCCAATCAATCTGAATGAGACACAAAATAAACACGTATTGAACACGTATTAAAAGTGCTACATCTACGCCAATTGAACTAATAAGCCAATTAAGTAATAAGCCCAATTAACTACTCAATTAGATAATTAGATAATTAGATAACTGGTTAATTACTCACCCATTAGAAGTGTTACGTTTGGGCGCTACAGGTGGGGCCCCTCCAGGGGACTGTGATCTTCTAACACCCTCCGCTATACTCCTACTATCAGTCCTCTGTAGAGCTGAAATAAGGTTATGTTAACAACTGGAGTAGAAATAGTTCAGGGAATTAGCGTTGTTACGGTCTATCCGAGTAAGAGTGGAGATTATCCCACTGACTACAGTCAGTAGTCAGTAGTCAGTAGTCAGTAGTCAGTAGTCAGTAGTCGGTAGTCGGTAGTCGGTAGTCGGTAGTCGGTAGTCGGTAGTCAGTAGTCAGTAGTCAGTAGTCAGTAGTCAGTAGTCAGTAGTCAGTAGTCAGTAGTCAGTAGTCAGTAGTCAGTAGTCAGTAGTCAGTAGTCAGTAGTCAGTAGTCAGTAGTCAGTAGTCAGTAGTCAGTAGTCGGTAGTCGGTAGTCGGTAGTCGGTAGTCAGTAGTCAGTAGTCAGTAGTCAGTAGTCAGTAGTCAGTAGTCAGTAGTCAGTAGTCAGTAGTCAGTAGTCAGTAGTCAGTAGTCAGTAGTCAGTAGTCAGTAGTCAGTAGTCAGTAGTCAGTAGTCAGTAGTCAGTAGTCAGTAGTCAGTAGTCAGTAGTCAGTAGTCAGTAGTCGGTAGTCGGTAGTCAGAAGTCAGTAGTCAGATCTCAAGTCAACCCACTTTTCATTTTATCTTAATTTAGAGACATTGTGGTCTATTTTGCCGTTCTATTTTAGATTTAATATAGATTGTTTGATTTTACCTCTCTAGATATTAACACACGGCCCTCTAATGAGGTACCACAGTATTTTTACTGTTAATAAAATATTTTAACAGCTATAAGTAGCCAGGTTTTAAAGTTTAACATGACGGACTATAATTACGGGTTATAACGTATAATTACAGGCTATAACGTATAATTACGGGCTACAACGTATAATTACAGGTTATAACGTATAATTACGGGCTATAACGTATAATTACGGGTTATAACGTATAATTACAGGCTATAACGTATAATTACAGGTTATAACGTATAATTACAGGCTATAACGTATAATTACGGGCTATAACGTATAATTACAGGCTATAACGTATAATTACAGGCTATAACGTATAATTACAGGCTATATTTACAGACTATACAGTTATTATAATGATAGTTCTAGAACAGGGCGGGGTAATATTGTTCTCTTTTAGGAGTACTTCATTCCTTTAGGTCTTCAGGTTTGTTAACTAATAACTAGTATATCTTTAGTATACTATAAACTAGTTTGTAGATCTTTAGTCGCGGAGAAAGTAGAAACATGTTTACTCGTATAGGTTCGGAGAGACAGAGTTTAACTAACAGGTGAAACTAAAAACTTAAAAATGTCCGCTTGAACCGGACTGATTCCGTATTATATTATTTTATATATATGATCGTATTATATTCATGACATCCTAATGAGAGAAGTAGAACTAAACAGTTGGATATAGTTGAGCATACATATAAAAATAGACAGAAATAGATAAAGTGATTTGAAATGATTCATTCAAAACATTCGAAAAAATAAATTAAGTATCAACTGTATTCATATGAAGAATGATTGATTGTTGAATAATGAATATTGATGAAATATTGAAAAGGGTGAAATATCCAATAATAAGGAGCAAATACGCACCGCTAAATCATTAGCGAGTTATTCGATACAGAACGATGGAACGTTTTTGTGAAGCTTAAAATATTAATGTGCCCGACATTATATGATTACGATAATTAATGTTAAATATTTGAAAATAGTTCAACATGCTGAACAAGTTGAACAAGCTGAACAAGTTGAACAAGTTGAACATGCTGAACAAGCTGAACAAGCTGAACAAGCTGCACTAACATTCCTCATTATCGTAGAGTGTAGCAGCGTACTCCTTCGTGTCTCCCAACGCAGCAAACTTACGGTACTCCTCCTTGTTCAGCAAACCAACCCGAATCCTCATGAACCAATCAGAGAGCTGTATTTTACACACGCGACAGCAACCGACCAATCAGAGAGCTGTATTCTAGTCACAACTAAAAACGCTCACATGCAAACAAAACCCAAAGTCACATTATTTCAGCTGAACGAAATGACATCATGCGAGCAGTGAGAGTAGAATTGACTGCCGCTAAAAATAACAGAAATTTGAGTACAGGTATCAAGTGTAGTGAGCACTGTGTAGTGAGCACTGTGTGCAAAAGAAAAGGGTTTAATTTCAACCTTTTGAGAAGGTTTTAGAAAGGATATGAGGACTCAGAAAATATGTCACAGAACACAAAACACAATGCTGATAAACCCGAACTAAACTGAAATCTCGATCAGTGCTTCAACAATTAAGTAATTAAATCCGTATTAAACTAATCGCAATAAATAACACTAATGAATAATGGTACACTAAATATTAAATAACACTAATGAATAATGGCACACTAAATATAAAATAACACTAATTAAGAGTATGCAATGACCAGGTCCCTCAAGATACGCAGAGAAAGAGATCAGTAACACACACACAGTGTGGAGGTAATGTTGTCTAATGTTGTGCAATGGGAGGCACCTGTGCAGTTACACAGAGCCCTGTCTCTTTCTAGTGGTGTTGAACACCTTGAGGGAGAATCTGAGTGAGGGGAATCTGGGGGGGGGGGGGGCTAATCTGAGGGGGGGGGGGGGGGCTAATAGACAACCTGGATTAAAAGTGTCCTGAAAGAAGGAGCCCTGTTTTAATTACTGACACGAGAAGGTATACTGGGACTGACAATGTCTTCGTAGCTTCGTCATAAAATAAGTCATTAACCAATCAGAGAGCTGTATTACTGGCAGCAGCCAATCAGAAAGCTGTATTCTAACCACGTGACAGCGCAATAATGTGCAGAACCTTTAAATACAGGTTGAACAAGTAACATAACAATTTCTGATGTTTTCTGATTAAACACAAATAAGAAACAGTTGTAACTGGATAATCTTGTCTTTACTCAAGTGTGATCAGACATTAGAATATGATTGAGAGACTCAATAAGAGACTACATCACATGTAACATCATGTTAAGTAGGCAGCGACTACAATGTCACTGAAGTGACCTATCACAGTAAGTAATTAATGTTGCTACTCTTCTATACTAAAGCTTGCTGATCAAGTTTTATCTAGAAGAGTCTACTAAACAGATGCCAAACTGATCTGAGTACTTATCTAACACTTGTGAAAAACTTGCGAAACATCAACTGTAGAGAGAGAAGACGAGCCAATAGTACTACAGAGTGTGTATTAATAGTAACAAAGAAGAGACAACTAACAAGGAGGGAGAAGAAAAGAGAGTTATCAATCTCACTGAGTGTGGAATTATAGTGTACTATTTGTAACAAGGGGGAGAAGAAAAGAGAGTTATCAAGCTCACTGAGTGTGGAATTATAGTGTACTATTTGTAACAAGGGGGAGAAGAAAAGAGAGTTATCAATCTCACTGAGTGTGGAATTATAGAAATAGAGGGACTGAGGGAGGAAGGGAGGGAGGGAGAGAACTGGATCAGGGAGAAAGAGAGGGACTGAGGGAGGGAGGGAGGGAGAGAGAGCACTGGATTAGGGAGAAAGAGAGGGACTGGGTACAGTGGGAGGGAGGGAGGGAGAGAGAGCACTGGATCAGGGAGAAAGAGAGGGACTGAGGGAGGGACGGAGGGAGGAAGGGAGGAAGAGAGGGAGGGAGAGAGAGAGCACTGGATCAGGGAGAAAGAGAGGGACTGAGGAAGGGAGGGAGGGAGGGAGAGAGAGCACTGGATCAGGGAGAAAGAGAGGGACTGAGGGAGGGAGGGAGGGAGAGAGAGCACTGGGTCAGGGAGAAAGAGAGGGGCTGGGTAGTGGGACAATGGATCAGTACAAATGAAATGGATCTGTGTAAGCTATGGTAGGAGTAATAGAAGCATGGTCTTATAACTCATAGCAAAACTAGGACATATCCCTAGAGTCAAGGTTTTTAGATGTTCTCAAGAAAATACCATTTTTAGACAAGCAGAAACTATGCGACAAAATATTATAATTAAGGAAGATAAACAGAGTGAGGTGAAGAGGGAGGAGTACTGAGAAGGGGCGAGGCGTGCTAATACACATTTACAGTGTTAATTAATTGTACTTAGTTATATTAAGTTATATTAAGTTACAGTGTACACACTGTAACCTAACTTACAACTAAAGTTCTAAATAACATATAATATAACCACTCTGTTAACTGTAACAACCAATAACTAGCAGCTCGAGAATAGGGAGGGACTGCGCGAGTAAATACCATCACAGATAACATATTCCTTTGTTGAGTTCCTCTCCAGATAAGAAACACCGATAAATCACTAATAAAACACTAATAAAACACTAATAAAACATCGATAAGCATCATTAAACTGTGTAACTGTAAGTGTACAGTGATTAAAATACCGATCAGATTCTTGCCAGAATTATCAAGTACATTATTATCAAGTAAATTACATACATGTTACAATGTTACATGTTACATTATACATTACAGTACATAATCAGTTTTAAAGACAAAATCAAGAACTGCACGATAACAATCTCCAACACAGTAAACGTGATACACACATTTGCAGCTAAGAGCATGTGTACAAAGCACTTGAGAGAGAAGAAGAAGAAGGACTAGCTGACGAGACTGAGAGGTGAAGTAGTGAGGGAGCAGACATTGCTCCATGTAAAACACAGCTCCGATTTAGATAGTAACGTGTGTAGGTTACTTTAGAAAAACAAGGTTTTAAAATAAAGTAATTATGGAGTCCCTTTAAAAAATTAGAAAGAACGAAAAAGGTGAGATAAGGAGATAAAGTTGAGTGGGAGTGATGATCATGTGATGTAAGAAGTGAGACGGTAACCGCAATATCATGTAACCATGGTAACGATAAAACGTAAAAACAATGTCAAGAATGTGATGGATAAAATAAGCATATGTTTTGAGTGCTATCCCGTATTGGATGGTATTTGGTTTCCAGCGTGCTAATATCACGTGATGTAACCATGGTCACGTGATGTAACCATGGTCACGTGATGGCTCACTGTTAGGTAAACAGTCATTCGTTGTAGAACGTGCTTTTAATCTT